TGTAAGGCATGTGCTCCCTCCAGTTCTTTGAGCTCTCCAACCCAAAGTTTATTTATTTGCGGGGGTGCAGGCCACAACCAGAGGTGCTTCGAGATTCTTCCTGACTCTATGCTCAGAAGTGACCCCGGCAGTGCTCAGGGGACTGTGTGTGGAGCCTGGGGATTGAATCAAGGTCGACCCCATGCAAAGCAAGCACCTTCACGCTGGCATTATCTCTCCGTCCAAAGTTTGAAATTTCAATAAAAAGTTGATAGGGAGGAGGAATTCACCAGGAGGGGAATGCTGGCAGAGCAACGTGGATCCAGAAAAAGAGCTTAAAGCCAGAGGCCGCCGGGCTGAGAGAAAGGCAAGCCGTGCCGGGGAGGGCCCGCAGCCTGCTGAGTCTGCATGGGAAATCGTACGAGAAGCAGGTCTGTGAATCCTGCACTTCCCTCCTCTTATCCTGCATCAGATCATAAGATTGGATATTTATATTTCGGAAATCCAATTTCCTTTGTTTATTTTCTTCTTCCTTCCAAGTTCTTTTAAAACATGCTGACTGGTCTCTGGCATCTTCAGAGAAAACTAGGTAAAAGGATTTGTTGGCTTCACACACAGGATCGGCTTTTGATAAGGGCCAAGTGCACCTCCCTGCATGCCTGCGCAGGGGGACAGTAGCTTCCATCAAAGTGTGAAAATCTGAAGCATTAGGTATGGTCCACCCAGCCCTTTCTTCCTGGAGACTTCCTCAATAGTGCACGTGGTGTGTGTGTGTGTGTGTGTGTGTGTGTGTGTGTGTGTGTGTGTGTGGTGTGTTTTGGGTTATACCAGTGTTGCTCAGAGGGACCAGGCAGTCAGTGCCAAAGAATGACTCTGAGCCTCCTGCATGCAAAACCTGCATTGGTTCAGATCCGGGGAGCCAGAGAGAGATACAGTAGCTGGGACACTTGCCTGCATGTAGCAACCTAAGTTTGATACCTTTCACCCCCTGGGGTCCCCCAAGCCTACCAGGAATGATCCCTGAGGCAGAGCCAGGAGTAAGCCCTGAACCCTGCTGGTGTGTCCCCCAAACAAAACCCCAAAACCCAGCAGAACAAAGCCAACAGGTTTTGGAGATCATTTGCAGGGGTGGACGGCAACACTCCTCGTACCCCATGAGCGTCTGTGTCCTGAGACCCGGGCTTGCTCTTACTGAGATGCACGGCTGCTCTCTGCCTTGAAACTTGGATTCCACTGGGACTTCCAAGTCGGGCCAGAAGTCAGCACCTTCCACCTGGTTCTAAAGGGGGGGATGCTGGCCTTTGGCACCCGGCCACCACGCTGTGGGGAAGTCCAATCAACCTGCGCAGAAGCCCACACTGGTCCCCTGAGAACAGCTGGCTTTGCCTGTGGCCCTGGCCCCCCGCCAGCAGCAACTTGCTGGCCATGGGCGAGAGCCATCTTGAGAGAACGCCTCCCTCCCGGCTGGTCAGATGCCAGAGGAAACAGAGAAGAGCTGTCCCCACCAAGCCCAGCTCTGTTAGCAAATAAATGACGCTTGTTTTAAGGCACTGCATTTGGGGTTTTTTTTTTAATAGGGCATGATAACGAAGACAGTTCTCTCATTCTGTCAACACTGAACGTGCTCTCTGGGGCTCACGTGGCTGGGTGCTAGGATTGGGTACTGCCCATCTTCCTAATGGGCAGCTGTCCCCAGGCTGGTCCTAACCTGGGTGTGAGAGGGAAGCTTGCCCCCAGCCCCCAGGAAGGGGAGAGGGAACAGGGCAGGACTGGTGGGTTTCAGAGAATGATCCAAAAAGATCTATACAGGTGAGGCCGTCCTTTCCCAGGGCTGAATACCCCATATGGCCAGGCAGGCAGAGGGGTCAGACAGGCTCTCCATGGAGGAACTGAGCAGATGAGCTGTTCTGGGAACTAGGTGGGCCATACCTGGCAGTGCTCAAGGTTGACTCCTGGCTCTGTGCTCAAGACTGGCTCCTGGCGGTGCTCAGGGGACCACAGGAGGTGCTGGGGATTGAACTGGGATTAAGGCAAAGGTTTCAATTCCTGTACTGTCTCTCAAAATGGCCCCAAGCATTTTGTCCCTCCCAAAGCAAGAGGGGTGACCTCTACCCTCATGCTGATGGATGTCCACAGCCTTCCTCCATGGTGTGGTACAGGGCTGGGTCCACCCGCTACCTGCTTAAGCTTTCAACTCACATCCTGCTCCCATGGCCCTCTGGGACAGCTGCAGGCCTTGTTCATCCCCTGCTGGGATGGGTCCATGCCAGGGAGATGCCTCAGACACCTCAGATGACTCCAGAGCTTAACCTGGGCCCAGAGGCAAAAGTCTCTGCTGTGGGGCCCCTCACGGCAACTGCAACCCGATACAATGTGTGTCTTTTGAGTTGAGGAGAAACCAAGGCAGGCATTCAGCACTGCTCACTTTCCCTTTTAGTCCCAGCTTTCTCCCCTCTCCTCTGTTTTCATGGCCTTGTTCCAGTTTCCGAAAGGCTTATCTAGAAGATATACTCTTCTGGGGTGGGGTGGGGCTCCGAGCGGTACTCAGGAGCACCAGGGGAGCCGTCCGTCCCAGCTAACCAGGTTAGAGTTCACTGTTAGGGTCTGAGGATGTGGTGCAGTTTGGGGGCTGTCAGGTCTTCCTGACTGTTCTGGGTGGGGGTGAGGGGCACACCAGGCCAGCTGAGATGCTCCAACTCTTCTTTTTATCGCCATGGTGTTGCATGGCTGGAGACTTCACCCCACTGTTGGGGAGCCCACAACCCTGGGGCTGGAGTAAGCTGGAAGTCACTTGTGGCGTGGGAGATGATGGCATTGCCTAGCATCTTACTCAGCACACGTGGTGGCACCTGGGATCAAACTTGCAACCTTGCGCTTAGCCACTGAGCCATTTCTCTGGACCTGCTGCGGTCTTTCTGGACAGTTTCTTTAAGCCCATTTTCAACCTTCTCATGCTCTTCAGCTGTGTTTGTGCCCCCTTCCTTCCAACCTCATGGAAGGGTTTGAAAGCATCCCCATCTTTTCCCGTACCCCCTTCCACCCTGGACCATTCCAGAATGTTTTCCTGAGTACCGACGCTTCCTCTTCCTGCCCCTCATGCCTTGTTGATACTGCAGAAAGGCCAGGCACCCACATTTACCCTTGGGATTCCAGCATTTCTCTCCAGGCCAGTTAGCGCTTGGAGGTTCTGGAAGAAGAAAAATCCTGCTATTAACAGCTCTGCAAATGGATCCCCACAAGACTTCTCAGCCCTGGGACCCTGGGAAAGGAGGTGTGTGTGTGTATTTGTGGAAGCTGAGGGTAGAGCGGCTATTCTCTGGTATGCTAGCTGGGATTGGAAGGGGCCTGAGGCTTCCAGCTGCCTTCAGAACCCCCAAGAAAAGCATTTGGCAGAGCAAGGAAACCTCAGGCAGGGACTCGGGGACAGAGTCTCCATCGCTGTGCCTCACTCGGGGCTTGTGGGGCTGTGAAGCGTGGAGAGGGTCCTGGCGCTGAGCCCTCACCTGGCACCCACAGTCCTCACTTCCTGGCGGGTGGTGAGTGAAGAGGGTCTGGGTTCCCCGGAAGGCTGTTCTTCTCAGTCTCAAGGTCGTGCACGTGGTGTGTGCCTGTCCAGGAGTGGGTCTCCTGGTTGTGTGTGTGTGTGTGTGTGTGTGGAATGGGGGGAGCACCAAGTCTTTGGACAGTGCCCTGTGGCTAGGCTGTGCTGCTGGGGTGACATTCCCAGTTGGCATCCGGGGCCCCTCGACCTGCCTTCCCTGGCCAGCAGTCCCTCCGGGGCCGTGCCCTGCTCACCGCAGCTATCTCCACTGGAGAGAACAAATATCTCCACTGCAACCTCCCAAGCAGGCCAGGGCGAGGAGGCTGTTTGTCCGTTTCCATGACACTCATTTATTTCTTCTGCAAATACAACCGTGCTGGTTGGGGGTAGGGAGGAGAGGGGAGAGTGGGGAAGCCAGGAAGACTCTCAAGTTGATTGGACGCGCGTCCTCGGAGGAGTCCGCGTTCACCTTCTCCTTTCCCGGGGTCCTGCGTCCGTCCCCACCCCCCACACGGCGTTCCCCACCCCCAACCTGGCTTCTTCGCCGCCGCGGAGCTGGGGCCGGCTCGCCCACCAGCGCAGGGCACAAGGAGGCAGCCTTTTATGGGAGAAGGGAGGGGAAAACTTTCATGGCTCCAACTTGGGATGAGTGACGATGGGCAACTCGGGCCAGTTCGGAACGGCCGTGCGCGCGACGGACGCGGGTTGCAGCGGGGTCCGGGACACACCCGCATCCCAGCCAGCGGCCGGTCTGGATCCGACCGACTTTTAGAGGTCATTTCAGTCACCCCCCGCCTGGCCGCCCTCTGGAGCTTAACTCAATACCGCGTTCGGGGCTGGGGCGGGGCTGGGGGAAGACCGGCCCGGCCGGGTGCGGGAAGTGGGGGAGGGGGTGCGGAGGCAGCGCGTGACCTCCTCGCGAAGCTCGCCGGCGAAGGACGTCCCCAAACGTTCGGGGCTGCGCGCCCCCGGGCTTCCCCGTCGTGCAAACGGCACTGTCCTCCGGGGACTGTGATTTGCAGGGTGGAAACCGGATGTCGGGCTCCCCGGGTGGGCGGGGGCGCCACCCCCCGGTACCTGCCAGGGGTGCTCGACACTCCCCAGGGCCCCGCCAGCCCCGCCGAGGGGCCGGCGGCATCTCGGGGAGAAACTTGCCGTGCAGAGCGAGCGGAGCGCGGAGCGGCCGCGCCGCCACGCCACCTTCGCCCTGGCAGTGCGCATGATTCTGCGGCGCTGCGCTCGCCACCCTCCAACGCACCTTGAAATGGGCTCGCCGCCCTCGCGCCGCGACGGGCAGCCGCGCCAGCCAATCGGCGCGCTGGACGGGGGCGCCGCGGCCAATGGGCGGGGGCCGGGGGCGGGCCCCGGGGCGCGGCGCGGCTAGGCTGCACCGAGGCGCGGGCCGCGCTCCGCCCGGGCTCGTAGTGCAGGTGCCGCTGCGCCGGGGCCCGGGAGGCTGCGCGCCGAGCCGAGCGAGCCGCGGAGGGATGGCGAGCTGGTCGCCCGGGCTGCAGGGGCACCGGCGCGGGGCGTAGGCTGGCGCGGGCGGGCGGGCGGCGCGGGCGCATCGGCTCGGGCGCGGGGGCATTTGCGGTAGGATGAGGCTCCCGGCGGGCGCGCGGTAGTACTATGATTTGGTATGTGGCCACTTTGATAGCAAGTGTGATCGGCACCCGAGGTCTCGCGGCTCAAGGTGAGTTCGCGCGCAGCATCCTCCCCGCGCCGCTCCCGGCCCCGCCGAGCGCCGCGCCTGGCCGTCGGCGGGGCTCGGCGCGGGCCGGGCGCGAGCTAGGCACGACCGGCAGGGCCCGCGGGTGGCCGGGGCGCGGAGCGGCCCGAGCTCGCCCGCTGACATCGGGGAGGGAGGGGCGCCCGGGGATCGGGACCGGCTGCGCCCACCCTGGCCCGCCCCGGGGTCCCCCAGCGGCGCGCCGAGCCGGGCGCCCTGCGCGGGCGCGGCCACCCGCTCCGGCCGCGGAGAGTCGGCGCCTTTCCTAACTCGGGTGGCCGGAGTTTGCGGGCTCCGGGCGGGCTGGGACCCCGCGCGGCGCCTCCGCTCCGTGGACTGACGAGCGGCGACGCGAGGCGCGACCCCTGGCCGGACTCTGGGGGCGCCGGGCCAGGGGACGGGCTCCTCGCTCCGCGGCGCCCACCCTCCGGGTCGCACGTTCCCCTGCGCGCTCTGCTCGGAAGGTGGAGGTGGGTCCTTCTCGGGGGCTCTCGGGCCGCGAGGCTGAAGCCGGGAGGCTCTCGCGGCCGACGCCGACCTCGCCGCGCCTGTGCCCGGGGCTGGCGAAAGTTCCGGGGGACCCGCGGCGGCTGGCGGGGGGCGAGGGCGGCGGCGGCGGCGGCGGCACTGGGGGCTTCTCCCGTTCCCGGTTCCCGGGGCGAGGCTGGGAGCAGGCGCGAGCTTCGCAGCGCGCTGGATGCTGCGGCTCGAGCGCGCGCGCTTTCGCCGTGGACACGGCAGAGCGACCGGCGAGTCGGGGTGGCCGCCGGGTGCCCGGCCCTGGGCTGGAGGCCGGAGCGGGGCTCGGGCTGCGGGAGGGGAGCGGCTCGCGGGGCTGGGGGCGGCGGCACCCGGGGAGGCCCCGCGCCCCGCGGCGCTCCCCTGCTCGGGGGGGTCGTCCGAGATGCCTTTCACGGGGGTCCCCTGCGTCCTCGCCCGGGGGTGCGCAGGGGAGGGGAGGGATTCGGGAAAGTTTCTGGAATGGGGTTCGTCTCCCGTGCTCGCGGGGGGCGTCTGTAAACAGACCGAGCGCAGTGCCGGGGGAGAGGGGGGCTTCGGAGACGCCGCGTCTTCCTGGATGGTTAAAAGCTCCCCGCGGGCTGCAGGGGGACCCCCGAGACCGAGGTGCACCAAACCCGGGGCCGCCGGGGCCCGGGTGGGCTCGGCCGAGGCTCCAGCCCGAGCCCCGCCTCCCCCTCGCCTGGCAGTCTCCGCGCCCTCGGCCGCCCCCCGCCAGGTTTTGGTATGTTCCTGCTTGGGACCCGGACTGCAAGCACAAAAGGATGCGCTGGGATCTTCGAATCCAAAGGGGCTGGAGACAGACTCCGGAATGGCCTGGGAGGGAGCGGGGGAGGGGCTCTCTGCAAGGTGAAGCCCAGGATGGAGGCCGAGGGGGAGCTGGGGGGACCCCGGGATGGCAGGACCAGACGAGGGAACCCCAACATTGAAGGGAGGCACCAAGGTTACGTCTTCTCTCCGGGTGATTGGACGCACAAGCCCTTATTTCAGGTGTTGGGGTCTTTATCGCTGAGTCTTGCTGGCGGGTGACCTTGGGTAACCCACCCACAGCCCCGTGGCCCCCACCTGCTGTGGGGAGTGGGGGTGCAGGGTGATGTGCCCAGGGGATGTGTGGGGAGCGCGCTGGAAAGCAGGCATAGCTACCTGTGGGACAGAGTCTGTGCGCAGAGAAGGCTCACTTCAGTCTGAGCGTCACCGTGGCTCGGTCCGGGCTTTCCCTTGAGCCCCTTCTCCAAGCTTTGCCCTTGAGCCAGTCCGGCCATTGATCAGTGGGAGTGTCTGAGGGCCAGTCGGAACCTTCTGACTGACCTTGTCAGCCTCCCAGGGGGGATGTGCGCATCCCTGGGGGTTGTGTGAAGGCCAGTTTGCAGATCCTGGGTGGGAGCTGTCCAGACCAGCAGCTTCAGGGAGCCCCAGCCTGAGCTCAGAGGTCGTGGTCCCGCTCAGCTCCTCTCCTGGCTGAGATTCCCTGGGGGCACTGAGCTGCCACGCCTAGGTTTGACCCGGGCCCTGGGTGGGAGGGCAGGGTGGGGGGGGCGCCGGGTCCCCCTGGGCTGCAGCTCAGCACCGCAGACTTGCTGAGCAAGCTGGGGGAGGCCTGCAGCCGCCAGCGGGGGAGGGGATGCTGGAGTCTGGATTTCAACACTGCTGCTTCCTCCTTCCCGGCCCCCCCCCATCAAGTGGGGTTCTGACCATGGTCCCCCTCTCTTTCGTCCGTCTGTCCTGGAAGCTGGAGTCTGGAAGCTGCTCACCCCCAACACCAGTCCCTGGCTGTAGGCAAGCAGGAAGGACCGACAGGAAGTGCCTTGTAGGTGCTTGCAGAGAAGGGGCGTGTCGGCTCCCTGCTGGCGCAGGCTGGGGAGGACAAACGGGGAAGGGCCAGGCTAGGGCAGGAGCTGTGCTGGACAGAGCCGCGTCCAGAGCCAGGCAGCGTCAAGTTGAAGGCCCTGAGACTGCAAACAGGGCTGTGCTTCCTGGGAGCGGGAAGCTTAGCAGTTGACACCGGCCTTGCCCTTCCTTCTCTCCTGACCCTGGCCCCTGGTCCCTGGTCCCTGCCCCTTAGCCCCTGCACCTGGCCTATTCTCTCTCGAGTCCTGCCTACCCAGGGTCCCACCCTCACCCTCCTACTGCTCTTTCCTGTTGTCTCCATCCCAGCCAGGGAGCGGGGGCAGGAAGATGAACCCTAAAGCAACCCAAGACGGCACCCCCTTGCTTTCAGAAGGTTCCTCCCACCCCGTCTTAAGGCCAAGAGTGGCGGACCAGGGTCCCTGGGCATCGCTCTCCTGTCTGCCGTCTCAGATGCGCCCCACAGCTTGTGACGAGCCACTCTGAACTGTGGAGTGTGTGGGGGTGTGACTGCGTGCAGGTTTCTGCGCCCATATGGACTACATGCCAGTGTGTGTGCATGCATGTGTCCAAGCATATGCCCACGCGTGCACATGCGTGTGTGTGCACGGAGTTTCTGCATGGGCACATGGGCACATGTGCATGCATGTTCTTGTGTGTGTGTGTGCGCACAGTGCATGTCCGTGAGTGCATGCACACACCTGTGTGTTCTGCGTGCCACTGTGTGCACTATGCGTGCCACATGCCTTTCTGTTTGACATCCGCTGTGCACAGGCATGCGTGCCCAGCCTCTCTGCCATCGCTGTGTCTGCGGAAGCACGTGCGCTGCCGTGGGGAGGCACACCCAGCCTGTGTGCAGGCAGAGGAGCGAGTCGGTGAGGCTTCCCCGTCCCCCCTGCTTCGTGCTGGAGTTGGCAGCAGTCCAGAAGTTTCCAGAGTTGGCAGCGAAGCCTGGGACCTGGGGTGAAAGATGCCCATGGTCCCCGGGTCACTGACGGTGGGGGGTTGGGCGGTGCTTGGGGGAGAGGTGGAGGCAGCACTCAGAGCTGGCCTGCCCGCAGGGCAGCCCCTCCGCCCGCAGGGCTGACCTATTTTTCTCAGGGATCTTTCCGCTTTGTTGCTCTTTCTGGGTGAAGAAGCAGAAGATGGGGAGTGAGGTGGGGAGCGGAGTTCTGGCCACCCTCAGGGGGTCTGGGCAGCATCTCTGTGCAGATAGGGGGGTACTGGCTCGACCTAGCCTCATCTCCCTGTCCCTTGATCCTGGTCCAGCTGGATGTCAGCCCCTGCCTCGCATCTGTGGGCTGCCCCTCCCCCACCTCCGCTGGCGTCACCCACATGGAGCCACTGTGGGGTTTTCACCGCTCATCCCTCCACCGCCCCGCCCCCCGCCCGTGGGGTGTGACCAGGCCAGAGTGGTCCGAGTCCAGCCCAGGCCACCTCTGCTGTTTCCTGTCGGAGCTCGAGGAAATACAGAGGGTCTGACCCTGAGAGCCTCCTGGTGCCATTGGGCTGCTTGCTGGGGACCCCCTGGAGGGTTGGAGAGGCAGAGGGCTCCCTGGCTGCCCATCCTTTGTCTCGGACTCTGCATTTCAACATATCTTAGCCCCTGTGGTCTGACCTCGCCTGACCTCTGACCTCTGACCCCCAGGGCTTGATGGGAGCTGGTAAGGACCCTATGGAGGGGAGACCCCAGAAAGATGGAAACTTCTATGAGGACCTGCCAGGGTGGGGTGTAACATCCAGGTGACCCCCCAATGTCAGCGTGGGGTGTAACATCCAGGTGACCCCAGTGTCAGGGTGGGGTGTGCCGTCCAGCTGAGACTGTTCTGGGCAGGACAAGCAGGTCAGGCTGCTTGGCAGCTCTGGCGAGGAGGGGTGGCCCAATTCTTCCCTCCGTGGTCCTCGGGCAAACCCTTGGGTGTCTTCTGGGTTCTCGGGGGAGGGTTCCCGGGGGCTGGGCCGCTTTGGAGCCCGCAGGGGTATTTTTAGGCTGCAGATGGAGGTGGCAGTGGCTGGCGCTGGTATTATTAGACAACAGACCTGTGGTTCCAGTCGGGCCAAGACGAGGAGGGTGAGGAGCACGGGAGGAAGAGGAGGAGGAGGAAGCCCTGCCAGGCTTGACCTCCTGACCCCTCCTACACCCCACACCCAGGCCCCACAGCAAGGTTGCAGACAGAGGCAACCCCCGGCAGGCTCCCCTCCCCCTCCCCCTCGTGAGTCTGGTCTGTGCACCCCTGGCCATGCTGCACCTGTGGCTGTGTCTTGGGAGCACATTGGGGTGAGGGACAGAGCCAAAAGGCGGGGGTAGCCGGAACCCGGTGGGGGCGGGGTGAATGTGTGGCCTCCCCACCACTCCCCCTGTACTTGGCATGGGTTGGCCCGGTGGGCTGTGTGGGCCGAAGTGACTTCCTGTGGGAGGCCCAGCCCAGAGCAGGCACACAGTGGGCACTTGGGAAGGCCGGATCCACCCCAGGCCTGCGGCTGACCGGTCCAGGGTCCTCCCACCAGTCTGAGTGGGCAAGTGGGCTCTGCTACCCCGGCACCGTGTGGTCGTGGGAGGGGCTGGGCTGCCTGCTGCGTGCCACCTGGCCCCGAGACAGATAGACGAGACAGATAGACGACTTGTCCCCTGTGGGCCTCCCAGGAGGTCGCCCCAACTTCCCTGCCGTCCTGCGTACTCTCCCCTGCCTGGGGAGCAGCTGGCCAGTGAGCAGGACAGCCTTCAGGCATGCCTGGGCTGCACCTCTGGCTGTACCTCCCTGTCGCTGTCCTCCTGGAGGAGTTGGGGTCCCCCTGCTGCAGCCCACCCCACCCCCAGGGTCAGCTGGGGTCGCTGTGTCCAGCTCTAGAGCCGAGTCCGTTGCATCTCACCCTCCCCCCTCATTCTCCTGGGTGGCTGCAGGACGCCCCTCATGTCCGTGTCCCTGTCTCTGGCCCTCTCGGGTCCTCTTTGCACCAGGCGCTTCTGGGGACAGTCTTAGGTGTGACATGGGTCCACCAGGCTCAGGGAGCAGCAGGGGCGGGAGTGGGGGGCACAGGGCCTGCTCTTTGTTCTCTCCCCTCATCTGGCTTTGCTGGTCCTTGCCCCTGCCTGGGCTGTCCCTCTCCCCTTGCTTTTGCAGGGGTGCAGCTGAGGTGGGGGAGCAGGCTGGGGTGGCAACACCGGCTGCTCATCTCTATGCGGTGTGAATGAGCCTGTGCAGGTGTGATGGAGGAGCAGCAGGGGCTCTGGGGACAGGCCCCCCCCAGTGTGAGAGGGGCTGCCTGCGGCTCTGCCTCTGTCCCTGGCCCTGGGCCCCTCTGTTTGCTCTTCTCATTGCCTGGCAGGGCAGCACTGCACACTCACAGATGTGTGCGTGCTTGTGCACTTTCCTTGGCCATGAGCACACACACCTCCTCACACACCTTCGAACACACACAGGCTCACACTCAGGATCTCACACATCTCCACGCAGGCACACATGTGCACACACACACACACACTCATCCACACATGCACACACATTCATGCTTGTATACACATGCACACAAACAGGTGCACGCAGTCGCACTCATGCACACATGTGCACATGCACAAGCACTCACCCTCATGCACACACTCGTACAGCACGTTTGCACTCACACAGGTGCACACGCTCACACATACACACAGGCACACGCTCCCACATACGCATAAGCGCGTGATCACACATACACACTTGTGCACACACTCGTGTACACACATTCATGTTCTCGTACACACAGATCCTCATATGTGCACACTCCCATGCACACACATGGTCACACGCAGGTGCTCACACAAGCACACACACTCATGTACGCACAAATAACCAGACACACAGGCTCACATGTGTGCACATGTACGCTTACGCAGCACAAGCATGTCCTCGTGTTGAGGTTGCACGGACACGCGTGTGTGGGTGTGTGCTTGCCTGGATGCATCCTGGTCACTCGTAGTGCCTGCATGTGTCCCTCTGGGGCCAGATCAACCTTTGTACTCCTGGAGGCTGGGAGCCAGGGGTCTGCCCTGCCCGGCTGTCCCTGGGGTGCTGGGGGAGGCCCCTGAGGCGGCTGGCCATCTCCCTGGCTCCCCAGGGGGCTGGGATTCAAACCGCCTGAAGCAGGGTTGGGGGTGGGGGTTTAGGAAGCCTGCTGGGGCCTCGGCAGGTGAGTGCAGAGCTCTGCTTGGCTCCAAAAATACTCTGTGATCTTAGCTCTTTCTCTGGAAAACAGTGATGTCACCGGGAACCAATCGGCTTCCGGCAGGGCTGGCCTCCTCCTCCTTCCGCACTTGCAGGGGAAGAGAAGAGAGGGGGAGGGGGCGAGAGTGCCAGGGATGCAGGGAGACTCACCGACGACAGACAGACAGACACTCGGAGGGAGTGGGACGCCAGCCCCGAAGTGCACAAGCACAGGTGCTTTTCCTCCGCACAGACAAGTGGCAGCACCTTTCTCGCTGCACAGGTGACTCAAGACCCACTCTCCTCGGCGCACATGCGTGCAGACACATGCACATACTTACGCGCAACCCACACAGATGTGCACGCAGTGAATGCACACACGTGTGCCACACACCATCGCACATGTACACACACAAGCACACACCGACAGCTGCTTGAAAGCAGAAACAGGCAGCAGTCAGCACTCGAGCAAGGGCTGGAGAGGAAGTCTACAACAAAGAGACTTGAAGAGAGCCCGAGAGATAGTCCAGCCAGGAAGGCCCCTGCCTTGCACTCAATTGACCTAGGCTCCATGGCTCCGCACATGGTCCCCTGAGCACCTGCAGGAGTGGGCTCTCAGCTCAGAGCCAGAAGCAAGCCCTGAACACAGTTGGGTGTGGCCCCCAACCAAAAGCAATAAAAAAGTCCAACCTCGAAAAATTCCAAATCCAGAGACATGAAGAGAGACAGAGACCTTGAGAGGCATGAGGGAGCTGGAGAGAGGCAGGACAGAACCCGAGCTGGAGCTGAACGTGCAGGAGGAGGCAGAGACCCCGAGACAGGAGGAGAGGCAGTGGCCGGATACCCTGGGGTCGCAGGGGTTGGCGAGGCAGCCTGGACAGACGCGGGGAGCAGCCCTGGGCCCGGGGAGCTGTCCGTGGTGCTGCCGTGCCGCGCTGCGGGGAGGGGGCTCTGGGCAGGCCGAGTGGGGGTGGGGGGTGGGGCAGGCAGAGGGAGTGGCCCTCGAGAGCTGGCGAACTGGTCAAGGTGACTTTGTGGGTGGAGATGGGCTGGAGGCGGCGTACCCCTGTTGGGGCCAGGGGGAAGTCCGAGATGTGTCTGCGTTAACTGCCCCCGCTGACCCTGGGTGGCCTCTCCCTGTCCTGTCCCTCCCCTCCGGGCCTCTGCCCATCCCCAGCTCGACTTTTGCTGAGGGGAGGGGGGTTCTCTTACCTCACCGGCCCCTTCAGGCCCCCGGCTGGCTAACAGTGCCTGCTGGGCTTCTCAGGCTTCTCAGGCGGATGGATGTGGAGGGCACGGGTGGGGGAGGGGCGCCCTGCTTTCCCGTTGCAAAGGGCCTCTGGCTGGTTGGGGAATCCCCGAGTCCGCCCTGCGGTGGAGGCCCTGGATCTCTGCCTGCAGGGGCCAGGGGAGGGCTGATTCTGGGGGGAGGGCTGAGGGAGGGCTCCTTTCTCCTCTCCCCCAGCCACCCTCAGGTTCCAGGATGGGGAGCTCAGGGCTTGGGGAGACTCAGCTGAGGGGAGCAGGTGGCACTGGGCCCGGGCACCGTCTGTGTATGTGGGGGGGTGCCCAAGGCACTTCCTGTGTGTCCTGGCAGGTGCCCACGGCCTGCGAGAGGAGCCGGAGTTTGTGACTGCCCGCGCTGGCGAGGGCGTGGTTCTGCGATGCGACGTCATCCACCCGGTGACAGGCCAGCCCCCACCCTATGTCGTGGAGTGGTTCAAGTTCGGGGTGCCCATCCCCATCTTCATCAAGTTCGGCTACTATCCCCCTCACGTGGACCCTGAGTATGCAGGTAAGCTCTGGGCTGGTCCCTTCTGTGCCCTCTCCTCCCGCCTGTTCTCCTGTGCCCCCACCCCCCTCAGCCAGCCCCCAGCCAGTCCTGCTCCTGCTTATCTCGATTGCTTCTTATCTTTCACTCCCATTATCTCTGTTTCCACGGTCTCTGCCATCCTGGGGACTGAGTAGGTTTTAATTAAGTGGTGGAGGCAAGGGAGGAGCAGGTGCTGCTCGCAGAAAGCTTGGCGAAGTGACACCGCCGGGGGCACTGGGCAGAGGCAGGGGAGCCAGGCTGGGCCGGAGGGCGGGTCTCTGCGGGAAGTGGAGTCCGAGCTGGTGCCTCCGCCAGGCCGTGGGGCTGCAGGGGGGCTTGTGGCTCCACCCCTCCCTCTCTCCCTTGGCTGCACTTTGCTCCTTCCTCCCATCCTTGTCTCTGGGTGTAAGTGGCCTCTTGGCTGTCTGTGTCACTGTCGGTGCCTGCTGTCACTTCTGCGGCTGCTCCAGCTTCGCCGCACCCAGCCCTGGTGTCTTGCCCTGCAGTTGCTCCTGCCCACAGAGGCCTGGCAGTGAGTCACTGCCAGCAGCTGCCCACCAGCCTGCTGGGGAGGAGGGCACGGGTGGATGAGTGCGTGTATCTGTGCGAGGGACTCAGTGCATACGTGTGTGCACATGTAAGTGCATGTGTATACACACGCACGACAGTATGCATGGGAACACATGTGTGTGTGCATGTGCAGGTGTGTGCTCACACACAGACTTCTGCCTGTGTGCCACAAGTGTGTTTGTACACAGGTATGTCCATAGGAGAGTTTGAGAGTCTCTGAGTGAATGTTCACAGAGGGCTGTGTTTGAGTGTGGGCAGGTGTGTGTGCATTTGAGTGTGTGTTTGCGCAGATTTGCACACGAACAGGTGTGGAAGCCATGTGCAGAGGGATGTGTGCAGGGAGTGTGTTTGCATGTGCAGATGTGTGAGCATGTGTGAGCATGGGGGTGCTTGCTGGGATTTCAAGGAAGAGAGGAAGCTGGTGGGTCACTTCTCTTTATCTTCTGACTTCCGGGCTCTGAATAGTTTTCCTTCCAAAAGTCCTCTCCCGGTGTCTCCCTCTGTCCCTGTCTCTGTCTCTTGTTCTCTGTCTTCCTCCCCATCATTCCTTCCCCCAGCCCCAGCCCTATAACCCTTGTGCTCTTCCTGTGTCCCAAGAGAGCCCCAGAGGAAGGGCGTGTTCGAAGGGACCGAGGCTTTCCTCTGTCCAGACAGGGCGGTGGAGCAGGGGGATGGCGGGCAGCGGAGGCTGCAGGGCGGGGAGGGTGGTGATGGGGGAGCGGCTATGACCAAGGCTTTAGGCCTTCTCCTTGGCCACCTGCTGCCCGAGGTTGGTGCCCACTGTTCTCCTGAACCCCTGCCCCGGGAGCAGGGTGGGAGCTTATGTGGGGTCCTCCTCCTTGGACATGAGTATGCGGTAAAGAGCTGCTGCCCTGGTCCTGACGACCTCCGGGCCTCCTGTCCACTCTGTTCCCCTAGGGCGGGCGAGTCTTCACGACAAGGCATCCCTGCGGCTGGAGCAGGTGCGCTCTGAAGACCAGGGCTGGTACGAGTGCAAAGTTCTCATGCTGGACCAGCAATATGACACCTTCCACAACGGCAGCTGGGTGCACCTCACCATCAACGGTGGGGACCCCCTCTCTGCGGTCTCCCTCTTGCACCCCAGTCTCCCAGCCTCTCCTCCCTACCCTTCCTCCCCATGAGGTGCGGCCCAGCTCCAGTCCCGGTTCCCGGACCCTGGACCTCTCTCCACCCTGCCCCATCCTGCCTGACTCCACCTCCTCCAGCTCCTGGCCCCGCCTCCAGGCTCCTGGCCCCGCCTCCCCGCTCTGGGCCCCGCCCCCAACACCTCTCCTGCTTCCTGTCCAGCTCCCACTTCTCAGCCTGCACCCTTGCAAGTACCCTGTGGGGAGCAGAGGGGGGTGGGGGGGCAGTCTGTGACTGGAGGGTGTGAGCACCAGAGGCAGCTTGGAGGAGGCGGTGGGGGGTGAGGGAGGCAGCAGGGGATGTCTGGTTTTACACTTGCTAATGGGGTGGCAGGAGGCTCAGCGTACCACCGTCCTTTGATATTCCTAGTTCGGTTCGCTACCCAGATGCGTCCCAGGGCTATGTGGTGTGTGTGTGGGGGGGGCGCTACTGGGGTCTCGCCCTGCTCTCAGTGTAGGAAGGCACCCCTGTCAGTCGGGGGCTCCTGTCCGGCTGGAACCTGGGGGAAAGGGACAGTGAAGGCTCTGAGCCACTGTGTCTGGATGGAGTTCACTGTGTGCCCCCGCTTGACCAAGGCCGTGGCAGTTTGAAGGGCGGGGCTTGGGGCTTGGGGTAGGAGTGTCTTGCCAATGGAGGGGCTCTCTGCATACCGGGAGGACCCCTGTGCAGAAGAAGGAGGCAGGAACAGGGGGAGGTGGGTAGAAGTGGACGGGTCCCCACAGATGGCTGGGACAGGCTTGACCCTTCTCCAGACTCGCTCTGGGGAGTCTTACGAGCTCAAGGCCCGTGTGGGAGCCGCAAGGGTGTCCCTGGCCTCGGGCCCCGTGGCTTTGACGTCTGCAGCCTGAGACCCATGGTGGGGAGCAGGAGGTCTGGCAGCCCTGAGGGACAGTGTGTCCCCCAGGGTCCCTGTAAGACTGTGTTTTGGTGAGAGTGCTGGCCTGGGGTATCACCGGTGGCCCTGGTCAGCCCGCCGGGGCCCACGCTGACCCGCACACATGGTGGTTCCTGCCTGAGCGCTAAACAATGGGTGAAGGGAGCTTCTTCCCACCCCTGGGTGGGCAATCCCCACGCCCGCGTGCTTGAGTCACCTCCTTTCCATGCCAGCTGTTGTGTGTGCCGGGAACGAAAACTCGTCTTAATATTAGCTCAAGCTAAACATAATTAGGAAGGTAAATTTGCTACTAAAAGCTTCGCCAAGTGAACAAGCCAAGAGATCCCCACGTTGCTTTGCTCCTGTCTGTCTCTCTCTCTCTCTCATGCACTTTCTGAAACGGCTCAGGTCCCTGGGCATCGCTGCCCTGCGCTCCTGGGCGTGTCTCTCCAGCTGTTCTGGTCTCAGGCAGGCAGGCTGCTGCCAGGGACAGCCCCTGGCCTTCCCCCTGGAATTGTGTGCTAGTTCGGTGGCATATGTGTCTCAGTTTGTATGACTGCAGAGGTGGGGGGGAGTTGGTTTGGGGTGAATCCCTAATTGCTGGGCCTGGAGTGAGCTTGGATACAATCCCTGAGCAATTTGATTTCTGGGGTCGAGGAGACAATTTAAAGGGCCGAGGCCAGGTTTTGCGTGAGGGAAGCCCAGGGTCACTTCCGGGCACCTCGTGGACCCCTGAGCACTGTGGGGAAGTAGCCCTGGAGCACCTCTCAGGCCCCTGAATGCTGCCAGATATGGATCAAAACCTGAAACCAGAATGAAAAATGAGGACTGGCGGTGTGTCCTTTTGACCACAGTCGTGCTTGCGTCCACTTCTGTCCCCAATCTGAGCCTTGTTTTTTTCCGTGACGGAAAATGCTGTGTGTCACAGGGCCGCCTGAGGACTCAGCATCTCACTAGGGTCGCCGGTATGAATGATGGCCCTGCTCCTCCCACGAGAAAGAAGGATGACATCAGAGGACAATGTCGTGTAGGGACAAAGTCACAGAGGAAGGACCTTGAGTGTTCAGGCAGAGGATGACGGTCTGCAGAAGAGCTGTGCATTCTCCAATGATTCTTCATGCAGGCTCGGGGACTGGCCGTGGGCAGGCAGGATGGGGTCTCTGGAGTCAGGCGGGGCCGGGTTCTGTCCCCACCACCATCACCAGCACTGGAGGAGCCAGTGAGGACCAGAGGTGGGTGCTGGGGTCCTGGTGAGCAGGCAGAAGACCCTCTCTGCACCAGTGAACACTTCAGAGTCTGCCCTGGCAGGCGGCGGCCAGGGCCTGCAGGGAAAGGTGCTCCAGGCAGAGGGAACAGTGTGCCTGGATGTTCAGAGGAGAGAGAGAGCCAGATCAGGTGGTTGATGAGAATGTGTCATCGGGGAATCTGAGGTGCTTTCCAGAGCACCCTCATCTCCATAGGTGGCAGAACTGCCGCCGTCTCCCAAGGGCGCAGGAGAGTCTCGCTCCCTCCCTCCCTCAAGTTCTGGGGCACCTTCCAGCAGAGATGTGTCATTAATGAAGGGATGAATCCAGAGCGAGGCTGTTCTGGGGCGTCCACCGTTGGGCAGTTTTTGACAGCGATCACCTTTGGAAAAAATGAAAGGCCAGTGAAAAATAAGACTCACCAACTGTCTCTTCTGTTTTCGGGAAGACCAGCTGGGCGGAAACAGACCCAATTATTTCTTTATCACACGTGAAAAATAACCCCTAAAGCCCAAGCCAAGGCTTGCCTGGGGTCGAAGAATGGCTCGAGACACGACACGGCCAGGCTGTTTGAACCTACACTATTAATTACAGGCCTCTCGGAGGGAAGAAAGAAGCCTGGAAATGCAGCTGGCAAGCTAACACCTAATTCAGTAAATAATCGACAGGCAAACCATTATTTTCCTGAAAACTAGAAATTGTTCAAAGTACTTTCCTGATTAGCACCTAAATAATAAAGTAATTATGTAATTAGTAATTAATTTGTCACTTCAGGACATAATTTAATTTATTATCTTTTCTCTGAAGCTTGACAGTAGAGGTAATAGAGGCAGCAGTGGTCGCATTAAGTGTGTTCCGAAGGGCAGGCTTGGCAAGGAGGGTGTAGAGCACTGAATCCTGCTAGAGTGTGAGGGTTCCAGAACCTTCCAGCAGATGGGTGGGGGGTAGGACCCCCTCTTCCCAGCATCCTATGGAACCAGACAGGACTTTTCCTGGGCATGTGGGGTACCTGTGTGTGCACGTGTCATGAGGCTTAATAATTTTTTTGTTTGTTTTGGACCACACCCACTGGTGCTCAGGGCTTACTCCTGGCTCTGTGCTCGGGATCGCTCTTGATGAGGCTCCGGGGACCATATGGGATGCTGGGCATTGAGCCTGGGTCAGCTGCGTGCAGGGCAAATGCCCTTCCCACTCACTGTGCTATCATGATAGTCCCAAGACTCAGGGTTCTTCATTCTTTTTGTGGGGGGGGTTGTTTTGGGTTTTGGGTCATAGAGCTCAGGGCTTACTCCTGGCTCTGAGCTCAGGAATCACTCCTGCCGGTTCTTGGGGGGACCCAGTGGGATGCTGGGGATCGAACTCAGGTTGGCCACAGGCAAAGCAAACACTCGGCCCCCTGTACTGTCGCTCCGGCCCACCCCAACTTTGTTCTGAGCCACCCGTGGTGGTGCTCCCGAGGCTGTTCCTGGCAGTGTGGGGACAGAGCGCGGGGCCCAGCTGCAGCCCGTGAGAGTCCTCCGGCCTCCCCTCTGCTTTTGCTGTTGTGGGTGTGGTGAGGCGTTGTTTTGGGCTGTGCGGCTCACACACTCCCAGGTGCTGGGCTCGCTAGGGGTCGCCCGCGGTGGAGCTCCACAGAGACCCCAGCTTGTGGCATTTAGGGTCCCCACTGGGCATGTGCTGCTGTGCCAGGGACTGAACTTGGGGCTCAGACGTTCAAGCTCCGGCGCCATCCCGGTGCCGTCCTGGTCTAGCTCGGAGCTGTCTCTGCACTGCCCCGGAGGCTCTGTGGCACCTCCTCCGTGCCCCCGAGCACTGTGCTTGGAGCTGAGCGTTGTGTGGGCCCATCTGTGCTCAGGGAGTCCTGGCAAGAGCTGTCGGAGCGGTCGGGGGCAAGGATGCCAAGGGTTTGTCTCAGCAGGACCCACAAGGGCACGTGGTGGGCATGGAAGCAGGGCACAGCCCCAGTGCCCCAGAGCTGGGCCCCGAGGCGAGGCTTCTTGTCGTACATGGGGGATGCAGGGTAGCTCGGAATAGCAGAGCGAGGGGCCCCGGGAGAGAAGGGCGGGTCTGTTGGGAAAAGGCACGAGACTCCCTACTCCCAGCACCCCACGAGCGCCTCAGAGGCTCCTGTTGAGTGGTAGGGCTGAGAGCACTGGGGGTGTGGAAGCCCTGAAAACAGAGCACTGTCCATCGTGACACGGGTGTCCGGAACGGCCCTCTCTGTTCCCGGACAAGCTCCTCGTGGGGCCCTCACCTCAGGCTGCAGGGTTGGGAGCCTTGGGGCCAAAGTCATAAAGCAAAAACGAACAGGACTGTGCTGCTGGAAGTGTCCAGGCCCGTGTGCAGGGGGCCGGGGTGGTGGCCACACTCAGAGCTGGGAAGGGAATAGCCTGCAGAGAGGAGGGCAGCGGAACTGGTTTCCCTGCATTGTCGGGGGGAGGAAGGTTCTGGGTTGTTTTTACCCTGAATCGTCTGGGGGAAGAAGGTTCTGGAGGGTTTTCCCTGCATTGTTCTGGGGGAGGAAGGTTCTGGGGTGGAAGGTTCTGGGGGGGTTCCTTGCATTGTCTGGGGGAGGAAGATTCTTGAGGGGGTTCCCTGCATAGTCTAGAGAGGAAGGTTCAGGGATTTTTTCCCCCCTGCGTTGTCTGCGGGAGGAAGGTTCTGGGGGTTTTCCCTGAATTGTCTGAGGGAGGGAGGTTCTGGCGGCAGTTTTCCCTGCATTGTTCTGGGGGTTTCCACCAGAGAGCTGGAGAGGAGGAGGTTCTCCAGAATTTTTCCTGCTTTGTCTGGAAGGTAGAAGGGTCTGTGGTCTCGGGGACCTGGTCCTATGATCTCGGGGGGCTGTTGGGGAGCAAAAAGCTGGTGAAGATCAGAAGCAAGGTGGGTACGGCGTGTCCTGTGTCGGGAAGAGGGGCCGCTGGCCTGGACCGCATGGGGAGATGCTGAGGACGCTGGGCCAGTGCTGGGGGCCGAGGTGCTGCTCTGGTTCCCAGGTCCCCGGTCCCAGCTGTCTTGCCCGATGGGCCTTGAACATCCGTCGGTTGGGACGCAGTCCTGGGGAGGGCAAGGCTTAGGGCTGGTAAATGGGGGGGGGGGGGTGACACGTGGGCCCACACTCCCTGCCCCTGGCACACACCGGAGGCCCTGCAGGTGCTAGCCCAGCCTCTGCTGTCTCTGCAGCTCCCCCGACCTTCACAGAGACGCCCCCCCAGTACATCGAGGCCAAGGAGGGCGGCAGCGTCACCATGACCTGCTCTGCCTTCGGGAACCCCAAGCCCGTCGTCACATGGCTGAAGGAGGGGATGCTGCTGGGAGCAAGCGGGAAGTTCCAGGTGCGTCGGGTTCTCCGGGCCCGTCTTTCTGCCCTGGGCTGGAGCCTCCCACAGAGGCATGGCTGGGGCTCCGGAGCACCAGACCCCTGCCCGGCACAGCCCCACCGTGCCACATCGCTGTTGTCCGAGGTCGTGCAAAGCGTGCCTCGGTGCCCCCAAGTACCCGGGTGCAGGAGTACCAAGTACCAAGTACCCAGGGGCCTGAGGTGGGTGCTGACATCGGTCTCACCTGTTCGCAGGTGAGTGATGGCAGCCTGACGGTGACCGCAGTGAGTCGGGAGGACAGGGGCGCCTACACGTGCCGTGCATATAGCATCCAAGGCGAGGCCGTCCACACCACCCACCTGCTGGTTCAAGGTAAGGGAGCGTTCCGGCCTTGGCTGGCCCCAGGCCCTTTGCACTTGAGCTGCAATGGGTTTTCCTGCGGGGCCGGGGGGTGAGGGGTGGGGAAGGCTCCTCTCGGTGATCAGGCGAGGGCTCCCGTGGGACCTGCTGCCCCGCCAGTGGGGCGCGGAGTGCGCTGAGTGCTTTCCGGTGGTTCCGCCCCGCGAGCATCTTACCACGCCGCTCCCTCCCTTCATCCATTAGTGATGGCATCAATAAATCAGGACGGGGCGCCGTGCCCAAACCCAGAGGCTTAAATAACACCCGGCGTTTGGCAGGGCCGGAAGGCTGGAGCCAGCATCACAGAGGACTCTTGGCCCGGCCTGGGGTCCCGGCATTGCCGAGCCCCCTCTGCTGCTCCCCCAGAGCGATGCAGAGCCTGTCCACCCACTGTGCCAGCTGCCCCTGTGGCGGAACTGTGAGGCTTTGTGGCAGCTGTCCTGCTGTCCAGCCGGCCCTACTAGCCGCCCCCCCCCCCCCAGGACGAGCGTCAGCACTGGCCCCCTGTGAGCTGCAGGAGCGCTGCCCGCTCGGTCGGTGGCAGCCGCGCCTGTGTGGACGCCAGCGCTGAGATGCTGAATGCCACCCTCTTCTCTTGCTCACCCCGACTCGCCCTACGCTGCCCTGATCACCCCCAGTGGGTGGGCAGGACCAGCCCCTGCTGCGGTCGCAGAGGGGCTTCTTGCCGCCTCAGGTCGCTGTTGTGCGCGCGGCTCCGTGGGGGGCCGGGTTGTGCGTGTGTGACTGGTGCCTCACACATGCTCAGGAGGTGGATAGCAGCTCGCAGATGGTCCACGCACATGCCTGTGTGTGGAAGAGGGCCTGGGTGCCAGGATGGACAGCGGGTGGGGACAGCGGGCGCTGGCCTCGCCTTGGCCACCTGTGTCCCTGGGCCCTTCGGGGAGGGGAAGTGTGGCGGTGTCTCTGCAGCACCGGCAGGCCATGCCCGCCGTCCCTCCTGGCCTGTGCGTGACCTGGCAGCCCTGCCCCCTCCAGGGGAGGTCACGCTGGCTCTCCGTCTCCCCAGGGCCCCCCTTCATCGTCTCGCCGCCCGAGAACATCACTGTCAACATCTCCCAGGATGCTCTGTTCACCTGCCGGGCGGAAGCGTATCCCGGCAACCTCACCTACACCTGGTACTGGCACGACGAGAATGTCTACTTTCAGAAGTGAGCCCCGCCTGCCCCCGGGGCCCCAGGAGAGGGGGAGGCCGCCTGGCCCGGGCCCTCAGCGCCCTTGCTTGTCCCCGCAGTGACCTGAAGCTGCGCGTGCGGATCCTCATTGACGGCACCCTCATCATCTTCCGGGTGAAGCCCGAGGATGCAGGGAGGTACACCTGCGTCCCGAGCAACAGCCTGGGCCGCTCGCCGTCCGCCTCCGCCTACCTCACGGTGCAGTGTGAGTGCAGTGGGCAGGGACAGTGGAGGGTGGGCTGCCGAGACCACCCTCCACTCACAGGGCGTGCGTGGGGTGGAGCCGGCACTGGACAGGAGGCTTGGACAAGGGGGGCGGGCCACAGGGCCAGCCACTCATGGTTCCCTCGGCCAGAAGTGGGACCCGCCTGGCCGGGCAGCACCTGGGCCTGAACCCCAGGGCTCGGGCACCTTTTCTCAGAGCTCAGCTGTGTGTGAGTGTATGTGTGTGTATGTGTGAGTGCATGTGCGAGCATATGTATGTGTGTGAATGTGAGTGTGTGTATGCGTATTGTATGAATGTGTTATGCATGTACATATGTCTCTGTATGTCTATACGTCTCTGTGCATGTCTGTGTATATCTCTGTGTATGCAAGTGTGTATATATGGTCTCTGTGTATACATCTGTGTGCCTGTATATATATGTGTGTGTGTAAGTTTATGCATGCATGTCTCTATATGCGGATGTGTGTGTATATGTGTATGTGTGTGTGTGTACATGTGTATGTATGAGTGTACATGTGATAAGTATATCTGTGTAGCTGAGTATGTATGTATATGTGTGTGAGTATATGTTTGGTGTATTGTGTTTGTATGTGAATATGGGTATGTGTGAGTATGTATCTGAGTATATGTGTGATCACATGTATGTGAGTCTTTGTGAAAGTATATGTGTATGTGAGTCTATGTGTGTATACAAATGTGAGTATATGTGTACAAGTGAGTATATCTGTTAACTGTGTGAGTACATGTGAGTATGTGACTGTATGTGTATGAGTATATATGTGAATATATGCATGTATGTATGTGAATATATGTATTTGTGAGTATGTATGTGAATGCATGTATGTGTGCATATGTGTTTATGTGCAAGTATATGTGTGTATGAGTGCATGCGAATGTATAAATATATGTATGAGTATATGTGAGTGAATGTGTGTATATGTGTGTATGTGAGTACATTTATATATGTGAGGGCATGTGTATGTGTTTAAATGTATGTGTGTATATGTGAGTATATGTTTACATGTGAGTGTATGTGTGAGTATATGAGTGCGTGTGTATGTGTGCATATGTGAGTATGTATGTGAAAGAATGTGCATATGGGTGTTTAGTATATGTGTGCATGTGTATATGTAAATATATGTGTATGAGTACGTGTGTATATGTGTGAGTGTATCGTGAATATGTGTGAGTATATGTGTTTGAGTGTATATGTGAGTGTACATATGTACATGTGTTCATGTGAGTATATGTGAGTATAATTGAGTGTATGTGTTTAAACGTGATTGTAGGAGCTGGAGTGATAGCACAGCAGGTAGGGCAAATGTTTGCCTTGCACGCGGCCGACCCGGGTTCAATTCCTGGCATCCTATGTGGTCCCCGAGCAATGCCAGGAGTGATTCCTGAGTGCATGAGCCACGAATAACCCCTGTGCATCGCTAGTGTAACCCGAAAAGCAAACAAAAAAATGAGGTTGTATATGGTTGTATGTGAGTGTATGTGTGTATACGTGTGTGTCAGTGTATGTATAGATATCAGTGTCTGTATATGCATGTATATGTGTGCATGTGTATATGAGAGTGCATGCATGTATGTGTGCATATGTGAGTAAGTATGTGTGAGTATGTGTGTGAGTGCATGTATGTGAGTGTATTTCAGTGTATGTGTATGGGTGAGTCCATACATGTGTATGTGTGAGTGCATGTGTGCATGTGCTTATCGGTAAGTAAATGTGTGTATATGTGAGTGCGAATATATGTGTTTGAGTGCATATGAGTATGTGAGTGTATGTGTGTTGATGCATGTGGTTGTGGGTATATGTGTTTGTGTGTCTGAGTGTATGTGTATATGACTGTATGTGAGTGTATGTGATTGTGAATATATGTGTATTCGTATAAGTATGTATGTGTGAATGTGTGTATGTAAGTGTATATGTGAGTATGGTGTGAGTGTATGTGTATGTGATTGTGAATATATTAATGTAAGTATGTGTGTGTTTGCTGGTTTTGGCATCTCGAATATGACACAGATAGCTTGCCAGGCTCTGCCGTGCAGGCGGGATGTGAGCAAGCCGGGTACCGCAAAGGGTTCAGCACCATCGACCACATCCACACGACAACCAAGCTCATTGAGGTTTCTCGGGAGTTCAAGATGCCGCTCTGCTTAACGTTCATTGATTTAAAGAAGGCCTTTGATTGCGTTGAGACGGAAGCGGTCATTGAGTCCCTAGCCAATCAGGGCATTCAAGCCCAATACATCAGGATCCTCCGTGAGCTCTATTGCGGATTCACTACCAGGATCTCACCATTCTACAAAGAAGTGATCGTTGATGTCAAGAGAGGGGTGCGGCAGGGTGATACCATTTCACCGAAACTCTTCAGTGCCACCCTCGAGAATATCATGCGACGACTGGAATGGGAAGACGGTCGGCAATTACACCACCTCTGCTTTGCTGATGACATTGTTCTAATAACACCAAACAATAGCCAAGTGGCACAAATGCTGGCCGACTTCGTCCGTGAGTGTGGAAAGGTCGGACTACAGCTGAATTTTACAAAGACAATGTTTATGAGAAACAGCCTCGTTCCTGACACCCCGTTCTCTCTCAACGGAACGACCATCTCCGAATGCAACAGCTATGTGTACCTAGGTCGAAAAGTCAACATGATGAATCACCTGGCACCTGAGTTGCGCAGGAGGAAGAGAGTGGCTTGGAACGCCTTCAAGAGCGTCAAAGAAATAGCTTAGAGGACGAAGAACCTCTGACTCTGGGCACATCTCTTTGATTCCACTCTTCTTCCTGCATTATTAACATACGCCTCAGAGACCTGGGCCCTATGAAAACAGGATGAGAACGCTATTCGGGTCTCCCAAAGAGGAATCGAGAGAGCTATGCTTGGAGTGTGACGCTTCACTCAAATGAGAGAAAGAATCCGGAGATCCGACCTCCATCGATGGTTAAGAATCAGGGACGCTGTCTCATTTGCCAAGGCGTTGAAAATCAGATGGGCTGGACACGTAATGAGATTTGGAGACAACTGCTGGACTAGAGCCGATACCGACTGGATTCCATGGGATGTCAAAATACCGCGTAGCTGCCCACCTACGAGATGGTCAGACTTCTTCGTCAAGACCCTGAACGATTGGTTTGAGGCTCTTTGTGTTCCTAGAACGAGCAGACGCCATTGGGCTACACTAGCACGCGACAGGGATGGATGCAGACATTACTGGTGCCTGCTTGAGCAACGGGATGTCAAGTGATCAAGTGATGTGTGTGTGTGTGTGTGTGTGTGTGTGTGTGTGTGTGTGTGTGTCCATGAGTGTATCTGGATATGTGAGTGTATGACTCCATGTGATTGTGAGTATCGGTATTTGTATAAGTGTATGTGTATGTATGTATGTGAGTGGACATACTCACATGTATGTGATTGTATCTGTGTATATTGTGTGTGTGTGTGTGTGTGTGTGGCTTCTGTTAGTGCAGGCGGAGCTTGCAGTGCCACCGCTGTGCCCCGAGGATGGGTGGGTTTCAGAGTCTCCCTCATGAGGTGACGAGAGGGTCTTGCTGATCCTGCTTCCCAGCTGCCTCTTCATGCTTCTGCGCAGCTGCCGAGAGACGCCCAGAGGAATGTTCTGGTCCCAGTGCCAGACCGGTCTGGCGTTGTGCATGAACGAGTGCGTGGGTTGGCCCTTGGTGCTCCTGCTCAGGGTGCTGTGAGCCCGCCAGGGAGACCTGATCTGCAGAGGACTGGCTACTGCAGGGACAGTGGCCCAGCCACGGATCTCGCTACACAGGGCTGGAGCAGAGGAAGGAACGTGGGTCTGGAGGGGCAGGAAAGCAGCTGCAGGCGTGGGGAGGAGAGGCCACGGGCAGGTGTGGGGAGGACAGGCCACGGGCAGGCGTGGGGAGGACAGGCCACAGGGCAGGCGTGCGGGATGCACGGGGCATGGCCACATGCAGGGTTCCTGGCAGGGCCCTCCTCGAAGGGGTGGTCTTGCAGAGGTAGCACCCACATCTGCATCCGTAGCTCCCAGGGAGGCTGCATGTGCTGTGAGTCTCTGCTTTTCGGAAGCTGGGGGGCTCTGGGGCAGACAGCATAGTCCCCCAGGGCTGCCGAACAAGTATAGGGCAGGGCACGGCTGGGGAGGCAGGTCCCTGGGTGGAGCGGGCCAGCTGCCTTTTCCCCACCCTTGGGGGCACTCCTGGGTGTGGGTGTCGCTGCTGGGTGTGCTCGAAGCCTTATTCCTGCTGCCAGGCAGCAGGAATCCCAGGACATTTTCCATCATGACCCCCTGGAAAACCCTGGAGTGAAAGAGCCCAGCCTTCTGCTGCCAGCAGTCAGGGAGTCATGTCCACCGGATAAGCCTGCCTGGTGTTTTTGTAAGGCTGGTCTGCAGGTGCTGCAAATGCCCACCCCAGCCACTACCCAGCCCTGCCACCTCTGGGCTGCTATCCAGTGCTCTGATCCCATCCCTTGGTGGCCCTCAGGGGAGAAGTGCTGGGGGGGGGGGGGAATGTAGAGCTGATGACCCCTTTCAAATCCTGCCAGCCCTCGTGCCCGGGGGAAACTGAGGCCCGGGGGAAACTGAGGCCCGGGGCCTTACCTCGCAGAAGAAGGTGGAGAAGCAGCACGACGGCATTGCCTATTTTGTGGCGGGCCTGCCTGGGGGTCCACAGGACTGAGGCCGTTGGCTCTGGTGTGGGAGCCGGAAATGGCCCTGAGTCCCCCAGGGCAGGGTTGGGCACACCTGGGAGTGCAGGAGTGAGTCCCAGTGACACTTAGCCAAACGCCTCAGACGCACGCAGCCTGCACTGGGGGTGGGGGCTGCCCCGAGCTCCATCAGGTGCAGGGCCTGCTTAGGGATGGCCCCGCGCCCCCTCACCTCCCTGGCATCTGCTTTTTCTCGCCTCCACTGCAGACCCCGCCCGAGTCCTCAACATGCCGCCCGTCATCTACGTGCCCGTGGGTATTCACGGCTACATCCGCTGCCCCGTGGACGCGGAGCCGCCGGCCACCCTGGTCAAGTGGAACAAGGACGGACGGCCCCTGCAGGTGGAGAAGGTGCTGAGCGCTGCTGGCCTGGAGGCCCGCGCAGACACACTAATTAGCACGTGTGCGGGCATGCAGCACGTAGGCATGCAGGTGCTTCTCGGGCAGCATGTATGACAACGGGCATGCGTGCACACAGAAGCCCCTGGCGCGCAGAGAGGGACACACAGCACGCAGACGTGCAGCACGTAGGCCCGCCAGCCCCCAGGCAATGCTGCCCCTCAGGGCTGATGCCCGCCAGCACCCCCTCCTCCCCCCACCCCCGCACCCCGTCTCAGGACTGCACACCACTCCTGGGCGGCAGCTGCAGCTCCTCCCAGGTTGGCCGGGGCTGGCCCGAACTCCCCCTGACCCACCCCTGTGCCCCGCCAGAACCTGGGCTGGACCCTCCTGGAGGACGGCTCCATCCGCATCGAGGAGGCCACAGAGGAGGCGCTGGGCACGTACACCTGTGTGCCTTACAACACGCTGGGGACCATGGGCCAGTCGGCCCCCGCGCGGCTCGTCCTGAAGGTGAGTGCTGCGGGCGCCCCCACCCTGCCCCCCACTTCCGGTACCCCCACATCACACTCGCGCTGCTCCCCCAGGACCCCCCGTACTTCACGGTGCTGCCAGGCTGGGAGTACAGGCAGGAGGCGGGCCGGGAGTTGCTTATCCCGTGTGCTGCTGCTGGCGACCCCTTCCCTGTCATCACCTGGAGAAAGGTACCTATGGGCAGGGGGAGGGGGACCCCCGGCCTCTGCAGCTCCTGGGCGGGCAGGGGTGTGGGGAGGCGGGACCCCTGGTCTCTGCAGCTCCTGGGCGGGCAGGGGAGCAGGGAGGGGGGGCTCTTCCACACCCCTGCCTGGCCCAGTGAGCCCCACGGGGGTCAGGGGCGATGTCCCGAAGAGGGGTGCAGGGTGCGGGCCGCTCCTGTCCTCCTCGCGACTCCTGAGGTGGTGGTGGCGACTTTCTCCCCCTGCACCCCGCTCCTCCCTGTATCACACTTCCCCTGCACCCCGTTTTCCATTCCTGCCCTTCTACCCTCTTCCTGCCCCTCTCCTGGGCCCCCTCTCCTCTCTCCCTCTCTGCCCTCCGGTCCCCTCTTGTCCACCCCCTTGTCCTGCCCTCCTGCCCTTTTCTGCCCCCTCCCCCCACCTCTGCCTCCCTCTCTGGCCCCTTCCTGCCCCCGCCCTCCCCCTCCTGCCCCCTTGCTTGGCCAAGGTAGGGAAGCCCAGCAGGAGCAAGCACAGTGCCCTGCCCAGCGGAAGCCTGCAGTTCCGCGCGCTGAGCAAGGAGGACCACGGCGAGTGGGAGTGTGTCGCCACCAACGTGGTCACCAGCATCACTGCCAGCACCCACCTGACCGTCATCGGTACGGCAGCCTCTGCCTGGATCTCCCCCTCTGGGTCGGCGACCCCAGACTCGCGCCCTGTGGGTTCCTGTCCCCGGCGGCCCCTTCCCCAGTGCGCCAGTTCCCCAGCCTCTCCCTGGACACGAGGCGCCCATGTCCCGGGACAGCTGGGGGAGCCGGGCTGCTGCGCTGGCCTGGAGGGTCCCTGGGGTCCCCTTTCCCACGGCATTCCACTGCTGCTCCCGTTTCCAGCCCGACCCCCCGGGAACCGACCCCAGCAGCGCCAGGCAGCCCCATGCCGGGTCTTGGCCCCGACAGCCGTGGGGCTGGGCAGGTGGTCTGGCGCCATGTTGGGAGGAGCCCGGCCTGGCATCTGCTCAGCTCAGAGCCCACTTGCAGTCTCCCGCCATCCTGGGGGCGGGCATGTCCGGGAGGGCCTGCGGGCTGTGCTGGAGGCCTCGGGGAGCACGAGTCCCAGCTCCCCAGAGGAGGTGCGGGGGGGGACCTCGTGCCCACCTGTCCTGGAGGCCGTGGTGTGGATGGAGCGGAGGGGAGGGCTGCCTCCTGCACAAGCCTCGCTCCCCGGAGCTGCCCGTTCCCCCTGCCCGCCCCTCTGCGGCCTGGCAGTGACCTTCTGGGCCTGCGGGCAGGGCCCTTTGCGGCCTGAGCGTCTCCGCTTGCTCCGCAGGCACCAGCCCCCACGCCCCGGGCAGTGTCCGGGTCCAGGTGTCCATGACGACGGCCAACGTGTCCTGGGAGGCGGCCTACGACGGAGGCTACGAGCAGACATTCTCAGTCTGGTACGGCCCTCTGTGAGTCCGCCCCGCACGCTTCTCTCTGCTTCTCCCCGTCCCGGGTGCGGGGCCAGGGCACGGCCTCCAGGGGACTCGGCTCGGGGCTCCCCCGGCTCAGTGCCCGCCTCCACTTCCTGGGCCATGGCACCTCCTTCGGGTCTCCTCTGCCCCTTGAGGCCCCTGGTCTTCAGGCCACCTGCCATGGTCTCCGGGACACCCAGTCTGGCTCTCACGCGGCCCTTCCCCATTGGTCCCGGCACCCGGTCCGCGGCCCACCCAGTGCCTTGTGCTCTCCAGATCTCTCCTTCGTCCTGGTTTCTCCCTGGGGGCTCCCTGTGGTGCTCCGGGGGCCCCTCCTGGCAATTGTGGCCGGCAGTGTCGGGCCGAACCCTGGCCCAACCCTTGCCCTGTTCTGCCGCGCTGGTCCCTCTCTTCTCTTTCCTTTCTCTACTCTCTGGGGGCTCTGGGTGTGCGGGTCGCCCCTGGGGGCTCTTCCGTCCTCCCCCACCCTCTTCACAGCCTCAGCCGTGGCGCTTTGAGACCCAAACCTGGGGCCACGCAGATGCACCGTGGGTGGTGCCTGCTCTGCCGTTGGCTCCCCGCGGGCTCCTTCCTCGCACACACGGCCTGTCCTGAGCCACTCTGGGCTCTAGGGGAGCCTCTGGCGGGGGACACGCACCCTCCCCCTGCCCCTCCATGCCTACTCCAGCCAGAGCTGGGGAGGAGGCTGGGGCCTGGGGTGGTGGGGGGCTTCAGGGAGAGTTGGGGCCCACTTGTCTCCCCCGACCCCTCCTGTCCTCACTGTTTGGGTTCTGGATAGACAAGCTGGACTGAGAAGGGGGGATAGGGGGTCTAGGACCAGTGGAGATTTGGGGAATTTGGGGGCCTGGTGGGTTCCAGTGGGGGTCTGGGGACTGTGAGGATGTCAGTGGGTGTGTGTGGGGTCAGTGGGGGTCTGGGGGCTGTGGGGCTCGGTGGGGGCCTGGGGACTGTGGGGGTGCTTGGGGGTCTAGAAGCTGTGGGGGTCAGTGGGAGTTTGGGGGCTTTGGGGGGGTCAGATGTGGGTCTGGAGGGTGCAGGGGCCAGTGCAGACCTGGGGTGGGAGGGGGCCAGTGGGGCCTGGGGGTCTGGAGGTAGGTACCAGTGGGGGGTTGGGGGATGTGGAGGGCCAGTGGGATCTCCGGGTTGTAAGGGTGCCAGTGGGGATCTGGAGGGTGGGAAGGGGCTTGTAGGGGTCTGGAGCATGTGGGGAGCCAGTGAGGGTCTGGGGGCTGTGGGGGTGCCACCAGTAGGCTATGGGGCTCCCTTAGTGGGGAGTTGGGCATAGACTGGGGGTCCCCTTGCTGCTTAGGGCGCTGTTCTCACATGGCCACCAGTGCCCTGGGCGTGGTCGCTTTGGTCCCTGGCCTGACTGGCATGGCAGGTTGGCACCTGCTCTCTCAGCAGATGTGGGTGCAGACATGGGTGCAAACGTGGGCGCAGCTGTGGGTCTAGGCGTGGGCGCAGACGTGGGTGAAGATGTGGGCTCAGATGCGGGCACAGATGTGGGTGCTGGCCACTGCTTCTTGCTCGGCCGGTGCTGCTTCAGCTCCCGTGGGGACCCTGTGGGCAGCAGCGCCGGCACCAGGTCTTCTTTGGACCATTCTTTGTACTGAGTGGCCCCGTGGGAAAGATACTCCCAGCAGCTACAGGGGGTGGCATGGCAGGGGCGGGGGACTGGCACAGCCCTGGCAGCCAGTTGGATTTAGACGGGTGGATAGAGGCCCGCTCCCTGGGGGCCTCGCGGGCGCCCTCCTCGGTCCAGTGTGACCCACCCGGCCCCTTGGCCCTGTCCCCTCATTTCCTTTGATCAGGATGAAGCGGGCACAGTTCGGGCCCCACGATTGGCTGTCTCTGCCGGTGCCCCCGGGCCCCAATTGGCTGCTGGTGGACGGCCTGGAGCCCGAGACGGCCTACCAGTTCAGCGTCCTGGCTCAGAACAGGCTGGGGAGCAGCGCCTTCAGTGAGGTGGTCACTGTGAACACTTTAGGTGAGGCCTGGGCGTGTCTCGCTGGAGCAGGGGGTCCCGGCAGGCAGCAGGCAGCAAGCCCAGCCAGGCCCTGAGCGTGTGCGTGTTCCAGCCCTGGTTTTCGATCCCTGGGCCTCAGCTGGGGGTGGGGGAGGGAAACGGTGAACTGAGTGAGGGTGGTCTCCTGGTCCCCAGCTTTGGTTTCTGCCCCCTTCTTTCCTGAAACCCCCCCTCTGCTCCACACACACACACACACACACACACACACACACACACACACACACACCATTTCTGTTCTTATGGCCACACCTGGTGGTGCTCAGGCCTTACTCTGGCTCTGTGTTTAGGGATCACTGCTCATGGTGCCGGGCTGGAACCCGGGCTGGCTGTGCAGGTTGAGGGCTTTCCCAACTGGACTGGCTCTGGCCCAGTGGCAGGCGGCCCCCAGCTCCTCCTAGTGCTGCAGGGAGTCCGTGTGTGTGTGTGTGTGTGTGTGTGTGTGTGGCGGGGGGCGTGGGGGGTTGCAGTAGCGTGGGCCTTGTCTCCACCCGGCCCACAAGGGATCTCTGGGGAGTCTTCCAGAGACCCTGTCTTCTGAGAATAGGCATCGGGGCCTAGAGACCACTCAGGGCGGGTGTGCGTGTCTGCCAGGCCCCACATTATTCCACAGCATGGCTGGGCCCCAGTCTGGAGCCTCACGGCTGGGCTGTCTGAGAGCTGTACGGAGTAGCCCCCAGGCCCCTGGGATATTGCTTGAGACCCCACAGAAAATGGTACCCGATTCTCCTTTTTTGCCAGCAGTTCTTTAAAAGAAAGCTGGGGGCCGGCAAGAAGGTATAGTGGTTAGGACGTTTGCCTTGCATGTGACTAGGCCAGGTTCGATCCCTGACACCCTACATGGGCCTCCAAGTACCGCCAGGAGCAGTTCCTGAGTGCAGAGCCGGGAGTAACTCTTGAGAACTGCTGAGTGTGGCCCCAAAACCATGGGTTGCTTTGCAAGCAGCCAACCTGGGTTTGATCCCCGGCATCCCCTAGTCTTCCAGGAGCAGTCCCCAAGCACAGAGCCAGGAGTAAGCCCCGAGCACCGACAGGTGTGGCCCGAAACCCACCCCGCACCGCCCAAGGGAGGAAAGGACAGGCAGGTGACAGGAGGCGCCGGGCCAGGGGCAGGTGCGGGCCCCACGTGACCGTGCCGTCTCCTTTGCACAGCATTCCCGATCACAACTCCAGAACCCCTGGTGCTCGTCAGCCCACCGAGGTGCCTCACAGCCAACCGGACGCAGCAGGGCGTGCTCCTGGCCTGGCTGCCCCCCGCCAACCACAGCTTCCCTATCGACCGCTACGTCATGGAGTTCCGCGTGGGCGAGCGCTGGGAGACCCTGGACGATGCCATCCCGGGCACCGAAGGGGACTTCTTCGCCAAGGACCTGTCCCAGGTGAGGGCCGGGCTGCTCCCGCCTCTCCCGCCTCCGGTCGGGAAGGGGCTGCTGGGCCGTCTGAGGCCCGGCTCAGGTGTTCGAGGGCTCCGCCTGGGCTGGGGTTTGCGTGCTTGGATGCCATCAGTCCTGCTGGGGAACGGATGTAGCGCAGGGACACAGGGCAGGGGACACAGATTGGGATAGGGGACACAGGGCAGGGCAGGGAGGCAGTGCTCTGCTGCCTTTCCTTCTTCATTTACTGGACACTTTTTCTTTTTTTTTCTTTTTGGGTCACACCCAGCGATGCTCAGGGGTTACTCCTGGCTCTGCACTCAGGAATCACTCCTGGTGGTGCTTGGGGGACCCTATGGGATGCCGGGGATTGAACTCGGGTCGACTGTGTGCAAGGCAAACACTCTACCCACTGTGCTATTGCTCTGGCCCTTACTGGACACTTTTGTGCCGAATTTGGTGCCTGGTGGCTCCGGTGTGGCTCCTCTGAGTACAGTGCTCAGGGACTGATGCCTGGGACTGAGTCAGCGTGGCAGGGCCAGAGGTCAGCGCAGGAGGCCTCTGGGCCAGTGTGGGGGGCCCTGGGTCAGTGTGGTGGGGTCATTGGTCAGCCCGGGGCGGGGCCTGGGTCAGCAAGGGGGGCTCTAGTGCCATGTTCCCTGGCAGAGGCTCCGGCTGGAACCTGTTTTTAGCCCCAGAGCTTTGCACTCTTGTGGTTGGTGCTGCTCCCTCTAAGAACAGACACAGTGCCTCCCACACCCCAGAACAGAATACAGTACCCCCCAGAACAGGGCACAGGCCCCCCCACAGAACAGGACACGGTGTCTCCCCCACCCCAGAACAGGACCCAGTGCCTTCCCCACCCCAGAACAGAACATGTGCCCCCTCCCCAGAACAGGGCACAGTGCCTTCCCCTCCCCTCCCACAGAAATAGGGCACGGTGTCCCTGCCACCCTCTGTGGCGTGGTTCCTGCAGAGCAGGGTCTGTCCCGTGTCCCCGCCCCTGACAGCCTTGTGTGGCTACAGGACACCTGGTATGAGTTCCGGGTTCTGGCCGTCATGCAGGATCTCATCAGCGAGCCCAGCAACATCGCCGGGGTCTCCAGCACAGGTACGTGGGGAGTGCATGGCTCCAGGGAGGGGGTGCCAAGTCCTTGGGGAAAAGGGCTGATGTGGGCTTGGGGATGGGATGGGGTCACCGTGGCCCCCATCCGGCCGTGTGTCCTGCCTCTAGCCCCAGTCCTAGTCTCATGCTGTGGCCTCCGTGGATGTGGTTTTCATCCGTGGCCCCTTGGAGTGTCCTGGGTCCCCTCTGATCCCAGGGGAGTCAGGCTGCTCTGAGGGATGGGGCAGTGGCAGTGAGGCGGAGCCCCTGCATCTGCGGGGATGCCGTGAGGACTGCGATCTGGGGACAAGTGTGCCGGCCAGCCTGCGAGGTTTGGGGACAAGCACTCAAGCCATCCTGTGAGGTTTGGGGACACGCACGCAAGGTCATCCCGTGAGGTTTGGGGACACACACCAGGGCCATCCCGTGAGGGCCAAGTGCCTTCCCCGCCACTCTGTCTCCTGTGCCTCCTCTGAGTGCAGAAGCAGCAGCATCCTGTCCAGAAAGGCCACCGAGGGCTGGGGAGGGGAAGGCCAGGGAGTAGGGGCTGAGCCCAGGTGGAGGGCGGACGTGGAGGTGGTCTGAGGCCTCTCAGCAAACGCTCCTGTGGCTGGCACTGTGCTGTCCAGTCCTGTTGACGTCCTGGCATGTCATGCAGGACATCTGCCCCAGCCAGTCAGGGTCCCCCAAGCCCCACCATCTAGGGCCCCCTTCTGTCCCCAGGCAAGCCCAGTCCGGAGCAGGCCCTCAGGGCGTGCTCGCTGGGTGGCATTAGTTCTTTTTTCTGTGTTCTTCACCCCTGTATGGGGGCATCGTCCAGGGTCTGTCCTCCCTGGCTTCTTCGTTCAGCAGAGCCCCCTGCAGTTCCGCCCAGTCTTGTGCGCTGGGACCCAGTTTCTCCCTCCGCCCGCTGGTGCTCGGGTGCTTGGCTGTTGCTAGGTGTTGCTGTTTGAGTAGTGCTGCAGGCATGTACTCAGAGCGGCAGATATCTTTTCAAATGAGTGTTTTTGGAGTAGGACTGCTGGGTCCCATGGAAATCCATTCTTAAATTTTTTCTTTTAGTTTTTGGGCCACACCCAGCTGTGCTCAGGGCTTACTCTTGGCTCTGTGCTTAGGGATTATTCCTTGCAGGCTTGAGATGCTGGGGAATCAAACCTGGGTCCACCATGTGCAAGGCAAGCGCCCGATCTGCTGTGCAATCTCTCCAGCCCCCTCATTCTTTCTTTTTATTTTATTTTTAAAAATTTTTATTAGTGAGACATCATGAGGTACAGTTGCAGACTTAAAAACTTTTGTGCTTGGGTTTCAGTTATACAATGATCAAATACCCATCCCTCCACCAGCACCCATTTCCCACCACCACGGATCCCAGTATCCCTCCCACCCCCCGTCCCCCCCATCCCACCCTGCCTCTGTGGCAGGGCATTCCCATTTGTTCTCTCTCTCTTATTGGGTGTTGTGGTTTGCAAAAGAGGCAATGGGTGACAATCATGTTCAGTCTATAGTCTACTTTCAGCATGCATCTCCCATCCTGGGAGGATCCTCCCAACACTTTTATTTGGTGCTCCCTTCTCTATCTGAGCTCCCTTTCCCCTTAGCATGTGTGGTTGGCCTCCAAGCTATGGAGTAAAATTCCTGGTACTAATCTTGGCCATTCTTGGGTGTTAGTCTCCTATTTTGTTACTTTATGTCCCCCAGATGAATGCAATCTTTCTATGTCTGTCCCTCTCTTTCTTACTCATTTCGCTTAACATGATACTTCCCGTGTAGTACCACTTGTATGTAAATTTCATGACTTCGCAGCCCCCTCATTCTTAACTTAAAAAAAATTTTTTTAATTGAATCACCATGAGACACAGTTACAAAGTTGTTCGTGACTGGGTTTCAGTCATACAATTGCTCCAACACCCGACCTTTCACCATTGTCCCCAGTTTCCCTCCTCTCTCGCTCTCTCTTTCCTCTCTCTCTCTCTCTCTCTCTCCCCTCCCTTTCTTTTGCGCATCATGGTTTGCAGCACAGGTACTGAAAGTTCATCGTGTCGGCCGCTTTACCTACTCCAGCGCTCAGTTCTTGTCCCGGGGTTCCACTACTCTTTGAGCCAATAGCCTACAGTTTTGGCAGGTTGATTTCTTGGTGAACTCGGTCCTGAGGTGATGGAGTCTGGTCAGAGGCCTGGCAGTGACTTCAGGGTATCAGGAAGCCCAAGGGTGCCGCCAGGGTGCTGTGAGTCTAGGCTGACCTGCGGTGATGCTGTGCTCTCCGGCTTGGGTGCCCCAGGCGCTCTGGGCGGGCTGCGCTTTCCTGTTCCAGTAGAGCCTGGCCAGGGGCCCCTCGCCCTCGCCCTCGGGTCTGGTCTCCAGGTAGTCGGAGCTGAAGGACTCAGGAGAGACCTTCCTCCAAGACCTGCTGTGGGCTGCGGTGGTGGGGACGGCGCGGGGCCTGGGGCGTTGCCACCTCTGGCCGGGAACCGGGCTGTGAGCAGGAACCCTCCAGGACCACTCTGCAGGCACCGAGCAGGACTTGAAAAGCCGTTTTGCCAGTATTGGTTCTTCCAGTCCATAAACCGGCAATACCTTCCCATTTTCTCCCTTTCTCTTCTGTTTCAGCAGTGATTTATAGTTTTCACTGTATAAGTGTTTTATCTTGTCATGTCCCTGGAAGGGAGTTTCGTCACACATTGACCAGACCAGACGCGAGGCTACAGGCCCCTTTATCGCTAGCTCGAGCTAGGGTCCAAGTCTCATCCAACGCAGTGGAGTCCTGACAAGGACCCTGACTCCGAAGTCTAAGCAGCTTATATAGGGTTTGGTTACATAACAGCATTTTTTCTAGGAACTGGCAATACGTTTCCAATCCTTGTCCCTGTCTGGTCCTGTGACTTCAGGGACCAGCATTATGTTTCTAATTCTTGGTCCCTGTCTGTTCCCATGACTCCACTCCCTAGGCCTCCTCTACTTGGTTGGACGCCGACTCCCATGCACCCTACTCTGATAGGCTGTTCTCTTGGGTCAGTTTATCTGCCCAGGACGGTATTGTTTTCTGAGAAGTCGGGACTTTCTGAAGGTGGGGGAACCGAGACTTAGGCCTGCTGAGTTTCAGTCTTTTTTTTTTTTTATTGAATCATCATGAGAGCAGTTACAAAGCTTTCAGGTTAAAGTCTCAGTCATAACAAAGTCTCGATCAAACACCCATTCCTTCACCAGTGCCCGTTTTTCACCACCAAGCACCCCAATATACCCCTTATCCCTCCCCTCCTCCTGCCAGCGTGGCAGATGATTTCTACTTTACTCTCTCTCTACTTTGATTACATTCAATTTTTTGACAGAAGACCTACCATTATTTATTTATTTATTTATAAATTTTTATTAGTGAGACACCATGAGGTACAGTTGTAGGCTTACAAATTTTTGTGCTTGGGTTTCAGTTATACAGTGATCAAGTACCCATCCCTCCACCAGCGCCCATTTCCCACCACCACGGATCCCAGTATCCCTCCCACCCCCCGTCCCCCCATCCCACCCTGCCTCTGTGGCAGGGCATTCCCTTTTGTTCTCTCTCTCCTTTTGGGTGTTGTGGTTTGCAAAAGAGGCATTGAGTGGCAATCATGTTTGATCTATAGTCTACTTTCACCATGCTTCTCCCATCCTGGGAGGATCCTCCCAACACCCTTTATTTGGTGCTCCCTTCTCTATCTGAGCTCCCTTTTCCCCTAGCATGTGTGGCTGGCCTCCAAACCATGGAGCAAAATTCCTGGTATTAATCTCGGCCACTCTTGGGTGTGAGTCTCCTATTTTGTTACATTATGTTCCCCAGATGAATGCAATCTTTCTATGTCTATCCCGCTCTTTCTGACTCATTTCCCTTAACATGATACTTTCCATGCAGTACACTTGTATGTAAATTTCATGACCTCATCTTTTCTAACCGCTACATAGTACTCCACTGTGTAAACGTACCAAAGTTTCTTTAACCAGTCATCTGTTCTCAGAAACTCAGGCTTTTTCCAGATTCTGGCTATTGTAAAGAGTGTTGCAATGAACAAACAAGTGCAGATGTCACTTCGACTATAATTTTTTGCCTCCCTGGGATATATTCCCAGGAGTGGTATTGCTGGGTCAAATGGGAGCTCAATTTCTAATTTTTTGAGAATCGTCCACACTGTTTTCCAAAAGGGCTGAACCAGTCGGCATTCCCACCAGCAGTGAAGGAGAGTCCCTTTCTCACCACATCGGCACCAGCACCGGTTGCTTTTGTTCTTTTCGATGTGGGCCAGTCTCTGTGGTGTGAAATGATATCTCATTGTTGTTTTGATCTGTATCTCCCTGATGATTAATGAGGTAGAGCATTTTCTCATGTGCCTTTTAGCCATTCGGATTTCTTCTTTGAGAAAGTTTCTGTTCATTCTGTTGCCCCGTTTTTTGTTGGGGTTGGATGTTTTCTTCTTGTGGAGTTCAACCAGTACATTGGATATCCTTGATATCTATCCCTTGTCAGATGTGTATTTGGCGAATATCCTTTCCCATTCTGTAGACTGTCTTTGTATTTTGGTCACTGTTTCTTTTGAGGTGCAGAAGCTTCTTAGTTTAAGATAGTCCCATTTGTCTGTCTCTGTTTTCACTTGCTTGGCCAGTGGCGTGACATCTTTGAAGATACCATTAGCATCAATGTCATGGAGGGTTTTGCCAACTTTGTCTTCAATGTACCTTATGGAATCCCGATCTGATGTTGAGGTCTTTAATCCATTTTGATCTTTCTTTTGTACATGGTGTTAGGCAGAAATCTGAGCCCACTTTTTTTGCATGTAGCTGTCCAGTTTTGCCAGCACAGTTTGTTAAAGAGGCTTTCCTTGCTCCACTTCACTTTTCTTGCCCCCTTATCGAAGATTAGATGATCAGATGCTTGGGGGGAGATGTCAGTATATTCAACCTTGTTCCATTGGTCTACAGCTCTGCCTTTGGTCCAGTACCATGCTGTTTTAATTATTAGCGCTTTGTAGTAGAGTTTG